AGTATGTAGAAGTATAATGCAGTATGTAGAAGTATGTAGAAGTATGTAGAAGTATGTAGAAGTATGTAGAAGTATGTAGAAGTACATAAAAGTAGAAGGATACAGACATAGAGGTACACATACATAGATTGCACACCTACAACGACGGCGCATATTCATACAAAAACACAGAAGTACACAGAAGTATTCAGAACAGTCAGACGCCCGCTTGAATCCCTATCAGTAGTATGAAGAAGTAAACACACGCACGCACCTGCAGCGGCAGCGTGACGAGGGCAAGCGCCACCGTCGGCTCGGCGCCCATCGCGTGGCAGTCGGAGAGCGCGTGCACCGCGGCGATGCGCCCCAGCTCGTACGGGTCCGAGACGAAGGCCTGAAAAAAAGAAAAGAGAAAAACGTAATAACAATAGTTCTTTTAACGTCCCCCGAGACAGGCCTTTTTCTTTTTTTCTTTTTTTCTTTTTCTTAGCAGTAAGGCCTTTCGTTGTTGGTGGTGTTGTTGTTGCTGTAAGGCCTTTTGTTTTTTTTGTTTTTTTGATATTGCTACTACTACTACTACTACCACTATTATCACTTATATTTCTACGATTACAACGATTACTACGATGACTATTGTTCTAATTATGATTTGTATCATTTTGATTTCTATTTTTATTACCTTGAAGTAGTCCACTGTCTGCACCGAGACGCCCCCCCCCCCCACCTGATTAATTAACAAATAAGTATAAATTATCAATTAATATGAGTTTGAATGAGTACTAACACTAACAACAACAACAACACAATGAAAATGATCAGAATACCACTATCAACTGCCCCCCTCCTCTGCATCGAGACAGCCCCCCCATCCACCTAAAAAGAAAAAGGAGGCAGGAGGAGAGGGGGAGACGTGGAGAGGGCGAGAGGGGTAGGGTATGTGTGTGTGAGTGTGTGTGTGGAGGTGAGCTCCCCCCCCCGGGGGGGGAGGGGGGGTTTTACCTCCACCCACACGGCGGTCACAATACACATAATCAAATCGGACCACACAAATCAAAACCAACCATCTATCATTATAATAATATTTAAATTAATATTAATGTTCATATTAATAATGATCACGATCATGACGATGAAATATCATGAGTATACCTCCTCCCACACGGCGCAGTCAGAAATTAAATACAGAAAAAAACAGCACAGATCACGCAATATATCATTCATGTCACCTTCTCCCACACGGCGCATGATAAAAAAAAGAAAAAAAAGAAAAAAAGAAAAAAGGACCTCCTCCCACACGGCGCAGTCGTCCGCCGCCTCGACGCCGGCGATCAGCTCGGGGCGCGTCGGCGGCTCGAGTCGCGCGAGGGCTGCGGAGAGCACGGTGCTTCCCACCTTATTGTTGATGATGTTGTTGTGTGTTGATGATGTGATGATGATGATGATGAACCTTGGCGCGCGCAAAAAAAAAAAAAAAAAAAAAAA